CAGATAGGTTTATGATGACTGTAGTAAGACTCCAAAACACCAACAGATTTGTAACCATCAAAGTTAACAAATATTAAATCAATTGTAGTGTTGTTGTTTGTGGTGACACCTTTAATAATTTGAATAAACTTGTATTTCTTCATTAGTAAGCACAGTTGCTGGTAAGTAGTATTGTCTGTGTTGAAGTCTCCTATGATAATTGACTTCTGTGACCTACAAAATGATTTCAACTTTTGTTCGACAGCTTGTTGAAATGGCTTCCATCTTTGATTTGGTGGACGATATATACCCAAAATGTTAATTGAGTGAGGCTGCAAAACACTAATAAAAGTCATTTCAACCACAGCAGCACTAGCACCTTCGACATTCACTTGATGTTGTGGTTTGGTTACTACAAGAGACCCATATGGAGTTCTTTGAACTGAGAAATCATTTCTATGTACAGTGCGTCCTGAAATTTCAATATTGTCTTTTGCACATATTTTGGATTCTGTGAATATCAGAACATCAGCTCTTGAAAAGTTTCGTTCAGAAACAATGTCATTCAAATGAAGTTTTACAGATTGAGCATTGTGGAAACATATCACGAAATTATCTGCTGGCAGTGTATACAAAGGTGTGTAGCACAGCTGAACTTGACAGCGTGTTCTTAGTCGTTCCATTTCTACCTTTACATCTTCAGATACTGTTATCTTTGAAGAATCAAAGGGTTGAAGTATATGTAATCGATTCAAGGTGGTGACCCGACTTAAAGCTACATAATGAACATGAGGTCGTTTTTCTTTGGGTAACTGTACAACTACATCCTGTAATGTGTCTCCCTGACATTTATGTATTGTCTTTGCACAAGTCAGATTTAGCGGAAATTGGGAACGTTGTATGGAAGCATTTTTGTACTTGCCTACTGGAAACTTTCTCTTTACTGGGGCAATTGGGGTCCAATCCTTATGAACATCTTTTTGGTAAAGGTAACTGCTATTTCTTCTCAGTTGTAAGCCTATTTTGGGGTCATCAAAATGAATCCAAACATACCTTAGTTTTCCATTAGGTGTTTTAGTAAAGTGGCTACAAATTCCACCAGCCCCGTTTACTAGACCGTCCTCAACATCAATATTAATTGTCAGCTCATTGCGCAAGCCAACTGCTGACGTATACCTCTTTGGCAGTCCCATGGAATCTCCAGGTAATGTAGGTGCTTTTTCAAGGATTATTGTCTGAACATCAGGAAGAACATCACCGATAATAATGTCTATTGCCTTGTTGTCAACCTTTTCAGAAAGAGCCTGGTCAAATAATGCTGAGTTGTGGGACTGAACTGACTTATTGTAGTACAGTATATGGGTGGCATTAGTTGGGTAGTCATCAGTTTGTGTTTCTGTAATAATTCTGGTGGAGAGAAGTTCAATATCTTGCTGTGTATGTAAGCCCTCTCTTATTTTGTTGAGCGTCTGAGCAAAGGACCTATCATTTGCTTGTCGCATAATTTCAGTAAGCTCAAATACTTTCATATTGTCTATCCATATGTTTGGAGCAAGCGAGTTATATTCTGTTGGAGACAACTGAAATATCCATCTGTCCATCACAGGATGAAGCTGAAATAAGTCACCGATACAAATCACACTGACACCACCAAATGGTATGGTTGTGCGTTTCACTTCTTGAAGTCTGAGATTAATGAAGTTAAACATATTTTGCTCCACACATAGACACTTCATCAATAAATAATATCTTCAAGGTCACTCAATTTCATCCGAAGAGTATTCAAGCTACTACTGTTCAAAGGTTTGTGTTGAAGGTTTTGATTTGCAGGGATACAAAAAGTGCTGTGTATGGTTGCACCACCAATGAGATACGCTGCTTTTCCTGTTGGAGCTGTGAGGATGACAGTTTTCCCTTCGGGATCTGACCCAATTCCGGTATTGAAATGTCGTAGAAGACTTTGGTATACAGTCTTGGTGAGTTTAGTTTTTCCTACACCAGCACCACCAGTAATAAACAAGAAGAATTGAGATAGATCTGTTTTGATTGTTTTAAGAACATGTAGGAACAGTTCATATTGCTTCTCATTCAGTGATCTGACATTATGTCGGTATTCTTCGTCTGAAACACGGTTTCTAATAGTTCTTTCTTTGTTAATGAAAGTTGGGGCACCAATGTCCATTTGCCAATATCACCATATTCAGTTAAACAAATTTTTTTTTTTTTTTTTTTCCCATTTTCATTTGTTTAATTTCTAAATCATTTTCTGCAATCCAATTCCTCCTGATGTTGAAAACCGGGGCAATAACTTGAATTCGTCCATTGTAATCTTTTTCATTTGGATCATTTCTTCTATATTATCAATTACACTTGACAGTGGGAGCATATTTCTTGCATTTTGAATCTCCAATTGCTTCCTTGTGTAATCTAATTTTTCTTCAAAAGGTTTCAACATTTTATCGATTTATTTTTCTTTTTCCCTGTCTCCATGGGCCAAAAACAGCATTAGTTTTTCCCTGTAATAGTTTTCACTGTCTTGTTTAACACTGTAGTTGACATATCTAATAACTTTTGGTTTCTTTCGATGCCTTAATTTGGTTCCATCTTGAAGTCTGATGAATTTGTATTCATTTTGTGTGTCTTTCACAGGGTCATCATCTATATTTTGTTCTATGTCACTTTCAGGAAGTTCTGTCGGGGATTTATTTTTGGAGCGTTTTTTGGCAGGAACTAGATCATAATTAGCTGCAAAATCTGCTAAGCACATCATTTCGGATCTGGTGTCACGTTTTGAGTATCGGGAAATGATATTTTCACACTGAATATCTTCTGAATCATCTGGAAGGTTTTTGATTTGTTCTATATCTTTCACTAGAAAGGGTCGGTCATCTGGAGGGCTTGTATTGATGAACAAAAATGATCGACTTGACCTTCTCATTGGCAGCTGAAGTGTGATGTATGCAGCTTCCTGTGCTGATATTTCAACATGTTTCGTAAACTTGTTGCCTATCTCTCTAACTTGACTCCTGATGTCACTGCCTCCTTTTCTGGCATCTTCACATGCTCTTCTCAGCAAGTCACTCATGCCTCTCTGTCCCTTACTGATGTAGCTTACTATATACATTGCACATGCATATGCATCGGTGACAAATTGGATGTCATGGTTTGCTTCCCAGGCTTTCAGAATCCCTTTGTTGTAGCCATTAATTCTTGTGTCACATGGCTCTCTTTTTAACAAAATCTTTGTATCTTTAAGAGAGGATCTTATTGCATTTATGTACTCTTCCTCGCTCATTTCCAATTTTTGTAGGAATTCTGAAAATGTTATGTTTGGTGTTGAGCAAATATCTTCCATAAATGTTTGAATATGTGCCCAGTTCTTTGTAGCTTTCTGGAATTCTTCATCATTTTCACCACAAGATAGAACAAGCGGCTCTAGAAGCATTGTAGAACAAGATGGAGGTATTGGGAAGCTGAATCTGCATTGCTTTTTACCTTTTTTCTTGCATGTATGGGAATGGCGATGATTCTGATAGGCTACAAGTGTGTCGAAACTGGAGTCTGTGGATATATGTTTCGAGACAAAATCTTCAATTTCTTTAGTGTCACTCTCTAGGTATTTTGGAGCGTTCTCAACCCACAATAGACCATGAATATGTGGTGAACCTCGATGCTGGAATTCAACACGATACCAAAAATCAACAATCTTCCCAAGAGGATTACAGTCAGAGAGAAGAAACACATGAAAAAATTGCTGGATTCTAAAGTCGAAATACCTTGCTACTGTTACAGGGTCAGCCTGAATTAAACGAGTTTTTGTATCCCAGGTGAAGTTTTCAATTTCTTCCTCTGTATAATTTTTGTGGTCAATAACTTTTCCTAATGACTTTAACAAAGGTTTCCAGTGTGTTTCTGCCGCTGATAAACTTATGAACCAAGTTGGAAGTTCACATTGTCTAAGCATTGCAAAAATGTCTTTTTTAGCATTTTCCCAATAGGGCGGTGACCCACGTAGAGTTCTAAATATTCTAAATCCCTCATCTAGGCAGACCATGGTTATCTACTACATTTGATCTTTCATATCTTTGGCTTGTGAAAAATCTTGCCCTTTAAGTTTGTTTTTCCTGCGTAATGATAGGAAAGACCTTATCCGGGTATTTCGCTTTAAATTGGATTTTTTCTGGTCTTAAAGAAGAAGTTTTTTAATGTTCATTGAACATTCGCTGTCACTTCTTCTGAGTTCAATTTTTAACAGATTTTCAGATATTTCACTGGTACAAATTTTCTCTCAGAATTGATGGTCCTTTTTTCCCTCCACAAAATATTGTTGGATATGCAAGCTCTTCAACATTGTCAAGGGAAAATAATACTTGTCGGTAACATTTCCCTCACTGGGCGCAACTGATACTACTTGTTGACCGTCATATTCATCAGTAAAGGTTGGAAACATCATTGTATCTGTTTCACCACTTGGAAGATTTTCTCCATCCTCAGACCATGCATCAGAATCATAAGCATCTTCATGTTCTTGAAGATTTTCAATATTGTTTGTTTGAGAGTCTTTGGGAGTGTCAGGTTCTTGGTCATTACTCTGAGCTTCGTTTTCTTTTTGTTCAGATAAAATGTGTAGAGAAGGATCTTCACAAATGAATTCAGACAATGGAGATTCTTGCCAAGCCTGTAACCATTCAGTGTCTAGACCTTCATGTACAAACTTTTTAAACAATGGTTTATTGAGCAGGTACTTTGTAGCTTGAACACACATCTGTGGTCGTACATTCTCATACATATAGTGTGGTTTTTTAACGTAAAACTTTTTGTTTAAATTTGAAAAGGTTTCTGTATCTGGGTTTTCCAGGTCCCACGAGGGAAATGTCTGTACCGTAGATATATGTCAAACAGGGAAAATTCCCTACATTTCCACGAAAAACTAACTTGGGCGGCCCCCTTGGTAGTTTCTCAAATTTCATGAAAAAAGTTTTTAATTTGGGGATATTAACTTTCTTCAAGTTTTTTTAAGTTCAAGTAAATTCTGGTCTAGGGGAAAAAAACAATGCTGTTTTACCTTAAATTAGTGGGGGTATTTTGGGTTTTTTTTAGGGAACTTAAAACAAAAATGACATTTTCCAATTTTTATATTGGGCAACACTGGGAAAGTTCCCGTCTTTCACTTTTGTAAAAAGCGTTGTAAGGATAGGTATTTGGAAACTTAATCAAATGATTTTTGAAAAAAAAATTGAGGGACAAAAAGTACATTTTATAGTCAAAACTAGTATTGAAATTTAATGTTTTAAAAGGGAAATAATTAGAAAGGGGGAAAAAGATTGTCTTTTTTAAAATTTGGGCTATTTTTTAAAAAACCTTTTTCCAATATTTTTTTTGAGCCCTTCCTCAGAGAAATTTTTCTCTGGTTTTAATCTTGACTGCCTTCTTTTGTCAAGTTCAGTAAACTTTGAGTAAGGATTTTGCCTGGCCTTTTTACGTATATCATGTTCACGTTGTCTTTTTTCAGGATTGGATCTTGCTTTCTTTTTTAGATCTTGTTCACATTTTCTCTTTTCGGGATTGGACCTAGCCTGCCTTCTTAGTTCTAGTTCATGGTTTCTCTTTTCAGGATTGGACCTAGCCTGCTTTCTTAGTTCTTGTTCACGTTTTTTCTTTGCAGGATTAGACCTTGCCTTCCTTTTGAGCTCATGTTCTAACTTTCTCATTTCAGGATTAGACCTCGCCTGCATTCTTAGTTCTTGTTCATGTACTTTTTTTTCCGGATTGGACCTTGCCTTCCTTTTAAGGTCTTGTTCTAACTTTCTCTTTTCGGGATTGGACCTAGCCTGCCTTCTTAGTTCTTGTTCATGTACTTTTTTTTCCGGATCAGACCTTGCCTTCCTTTTAAGCTCTTGTTCACACTTTCTCTTTTCGGGATTAGACCTCGCCTGCCTACTCAGTTCTTGTTCATGTACTTTCTTTTCCGGATCAGACCTTGCCTTCCTTTTGAGCTCTTGCTCTAACTTTCTCTTCTCGGGATTGGACCTAGCTTGCTTTCTTAGTTCTTGTTCATGTACTTTCTTTTCCGGATCAGACCTTGCCTTCCTTTTAAGCTCTTGTTCACACTTTCTCTTTTCAGGATTGGACCTAGCCTGTCTTCTTAGTTCTTGTTCACGTTTTTTCTTTGCAGGATCGGACCTTGCCTTCCTTTTGAGCTCTTGTTCTAACTTTCTCTTCTCGGGATTGGACCTAGCCTGCTTTCTTAGTTCTTGTTCATGTATTTTCTTTTCCGGATCAGACCTTGCCTTCCTTTTAAGCTCTTGTTCACACTTTCTCTTTTCGGGATTAGACCTCGCCTGCCTACTCAGTTCTTGTTCACGTTTTTTCTTTGCAGGATCGGACCTTGCCTTCCTTTTGAGCTCTTGTTCTAACTTTCTCTTCTCGGGATTGGACCTAGCCTGCTTTCTTAGCTCTTGTTCACGTTTTTTATAGTCTGGATTTAGTCTGGACTTTCTTTTTTTCTCTCTTTCTTTCATTTTTCTTTCATTTTCAATTGTACTGTTGATAGTAGGGTTTATTTTATTGCAGTTCTCTTTAACTACATCTGATTTTGTTTTACTTGTTTGAGATACATGATGCATTGTTCTTAAGTTTTGATCTTTCAAATAGTCATCAATTCTGCATTCAGTAGTTAAGGCTGCCTCTAATGATTTTTGCAGAGGAAAAGGCCTTATTTCCTGTGCAAGCATACACTGTCTCAGATGATAGCGGGCTCTTTTAATGTCAAACTGGCTTTCACAATTCACACCGAGAAAACACGAAAAGGCAAAAGCAATTGCCATCACTCCACATATTGGGGATGAGGACTGTTGTGTCACTTTTTTATATTTTATTCTCTGCACACCACCATCTCCAAAGATAAGTTTGATCTGTTGTGTTACTTCTCTTAAGTGATCTTGAGTCATTAAAGAGTCATAAATATGAATTTCATTCAAGTTAGGATGTTGGCATGAGGTAACCCAATGATTGTTCAATGGATGGATGTTAATTGAAAACTTGTTCATTGGTATCACAGGTTTAGTGAAAAGCTGGTCCTTTAAGGTTGTCTGGAGCACTAATTCAGCCACGGTATAGTATCCAATATAGTCCTGAAGAGCTGTTGGCGAAAAAGCCTTCATGAGATTAATTGCCATCTGTATAATGTCATCCGGTAGACTTGTACTCCCATCACCAATTAGAGAAGATACACGATAGGGATCTATTGATGTACTGGAGACAGCTTCCTGCAAATGAGTTGTAGACATAAGTTTTGGAAGGCAATGTAAGCAAATTCTTAACTGATTACATGAGAACAAACAACTAAGAGAACTTTTACTGTTAAAATACACAAAGAAAGCAAGAATTATAGGTGATTTGAATATGCATACTAATAATGGATCAGTCATATCTAAATATTTAAGTGTAAGAAGCCAACTTTTATAACTATTAGATGAAGTGTTAGTGTAATGTCTTTTCAACCACTTAATTAATCTGTTTAACCTTGAAAAAATATAAATGTTTACAATGAGTGTCATTTTACTTTAAATCTTATGGAGAATAAATATAAAGAAGAAACCATGTTGGATATACTAATAAGGATTGCTACCTTATAAAGTTTATATTCTTTAAAATGTATATATCATTTCTTTGGTTTATAATAAATATAACACCACAGACAAACATAACAAGGACAAAATAATACACAATTTAGTCAAAATATGTTCCTTACATATTGTTGTTCTGCTTGTGAAACAGCCCCAGTTGATACATGTGTGCCCGTCCTGCCAGTATAATCTATTGGATTGTCTTCTTTTGATGGAGCAGACGTCGTGGACTGACTCTGAAGCAGAGAAACATGAAAGCTAGTCATGTTGATTGGAACTAAATAAACAAAGGTGAAAGATCCTGTACATGCATGTGTATCTGGGAAAAAAAGTTTTTAGCCGGTGCTAGGGGGCGTGAGGGATGTTGCACTTATGCATTATCCCTCATGTACAGACTCAATCAAACCGAGTCTGCAATTCTTATGTTATTTTGTTGTGATTAATGCTTCTGAGGGATCACTTTGTTTCCAGAATTTTGTACTTCACAACAGCAGGTGTCAAGTGCCGTGTGGCAGCCGTAAAAAGTTGCCCCGTACTTCACTTCAGTGTTGTTATATTTTCTGGTCCTTCGGGATCATTGATGCCAACACTATAAAGTGTTGAGAGTACCGCTCAAGCCGGTGCTAGGGGGTGTGAGGGATGTTGAACTTATTCATTATCCCTCATGTACAGACTCAATCAAACCGAGTCTGCAATTCTTATGTCATTTTGTTGTGATTAATGCTTCCGAGGGATCACTTTGTTTCCAGAATTTTATAATGGCTCAAGTAAAGAATTAACAATGTTTAAAGTTTTGATGAGGATATTGGCAAAAAATAAATTTCCAATAATAAAGGGAGATAATTAGAAATGTGTTTTTATTAAAAAAAAGTTTTGCATTCAAATAAAAATACTACATTTTTTTTATCCCAAGCAATATCCAATGTAAAACAAGTGAATGTGTTGAACAAGTGAATGTGTTGAATTTATATCCCAAGCTGAGTACTGATTATACAAACACAACAACTGGAAACATCTGGTTTAATTTGTATATTTATCATGGTATACTTAACAGTAATATTCTTTGTACATGATAAAAATTCAGGGCAATCACATACTAAGACCATAACTCTGTGTAAAATAGTATTATCCTGACATGCCTGAGATCCCATAAAGTTTTGTTGAAATCAATCCAGCAGTTGCAAAGAAATAGCAATATTTATATGATTTTTTTTCTATATGCATACGACATAAATAATCAAGGATCATAACTCTGTGTTGAAGGGTCTAACCTGAGCAAGGCAACAATATGCGCATCTCCTCTTGGTATTGATGGTTCCCATAAAGTTTCATTGAATTCCTGCCAGTAGTATAAGAGAAATAGCATGGAAACAATTTTTGCTCTATATGCATACTACCTAACAAATCAAGGGCCTTAACTCTGTGTAGAAGAGTGTGATCGGAACAAGGCGACAATATGCCAATCTAATTTTGGTATTGATGGTTTCCATGAAATTTCTCTGCATTGCAGCCAGTAAATGCAGAAAAATAGCGAGGAAATGATTTTTGCTCTATTTGCACACTGCATAACTAATCAAGGGCCATTATAATTATGATGCTATGATACAAAAGAAAGAACATCAAAACGTTCTGCAATCTTATTAAAACTCAGACAAATCAGATAGCCTCGTGTTTCGATGCTCTTTCTATTACAAAACTCACTGACAATTAGTTACCTCTAAAACGGTTCCATTGCGTGATATAGTTGATGGTGATAAATCTTCTTCAAGATGAATGTTAATGGGGCTTGAGAATGTTTGTCTATGTAAAGCCCTCTGTCCCTGTTTCCTTAGCTTGTCTTTCTGGCGTTTAGCTCGATTCATGCTGCATTAACAATATCTGTTACCTGAAATATTTTATTTCGGTTAATAAACATTTTATTTCGGTTAATAAACAAACATAAAATAGTGAGACTGTTTATAGGTATGAAGACAGTCTCACAAAAGGTGGAATGAGGCTCTTGAAAGAAATCAAAGTTATCTAAGTTATCAGCTTTTACTAACATTTAGTGTAGAAATTGGATTTTTACAGCACAGAGCTATGTTCCACCTAAAAGCATACCAAAATGCACATTGTTTATGCTAATAAGAAAATAATATGTATCTAAAGTAGGGGCAAAAAAATTTATATTATCTAAGGCAAAACAATCTAATATTTATGAGAAATAACATACTTTACATAGCATCTACTATGTGTGTCATTTAAAACAAACTTTCATCTGTCATAAAGGATCATATTTGAAAATTTACATAATGCTAAATAGGCAGAATTATTATTCCATAAAGCAATTATTTGATATGAAATCTTTCAGAATAATTAATTTACAATTAAGTCTTCTTTGTTTACAAGAGAAAGAGTTGTATCTATGACATATCTACTTTGCCTTATAATGGTATGAGCAACAGATTTTTTTTTTATCCCCGAGCAAAAGGTCATAGAAAGCAGCTTTGCAGCTTGTTTGCAGTTGTTTTAAGATGTTAAGTATTACTGTAATAACAGTAATAATCAGGATATTTTAATATTCACAATTTCCCTCTAATTGACTGTATTGTAAATTTGAAAATCTGGAAAAAAAATTGTCAATAATATACAGACATTTGCCCATTATAATAATAATAAAAATAAAAATTAACATTTTAGCACAATAAATATGGACCAAATTAATATAAAAGTGTTACTTAAAATTTAAAACAAGAAACATGGCAATGCCATAAAACCAGGTTTTCAATTATCACCATTGTAGATAAATATGTTGTTTTTGAAATACAAATACAACTTCAAGCAACAAACAATGTAACTATGTGCAATGTAAAACATGAATAATGTAGGAGGAATTGCCACAGAGGAAGTGTTCACTATAATTATATTCTGTATAAGGAAAAAAAAACAAAGGGCTATAACTAAATAAAAAATTATTCAATCACAAAACCCCGACAATATGCGCCAGGGCACTGGATGACAAAGCTACTGTGAAAGTTTGAACAAAATCCGTTGAGAAATGTAGGAGTTCAGCACAGAATTTTTTTTTCACTATATATTCTGTATAAGGAAAAATAACAAAGGGCCATTATTAGGTCAAATATTATCCAATCACAAAACCCCGACAATATGCCCCAGGTCACTTGATGACAAAGCTTCTGTGAAAGTTTGGTCAAAATCCGTTAAAAAATGTAGGAGGTGTTGCGCACAGAAGAAATTGTTTACGCCCGCCCGCCCGTCCGCCGACATACCTCAATCTAATAACCAGTTTTTTCCTTCGGAAAACCTGGTTAAAAATCTTTGTGTCAATATCACTTGATTTTATCCAAATGTGATTGTGTTACATGTATAATTAGTAGAAAACAACCATGGGTGATTTAGCCTACATGCAATGTACCATTTGTAAAAAATGAAATGATGGAAAATTCATTAAAGATAAACTTCCGGTAAAATAAGAGAAAAAAATCCAGCGCCTTAATTGCAAATAATCAGCATTATAATTCAGAAAGATTGTTTCCGAGAAATAGAGGTTACACAAAAATAAAGTGATTTACAATTTTTAATTTTCTTTATGGTACTTAATTTGAAACCAAATGATGTTATTATTGTTTTAAACAAAAGGTTTACTGCATGTAGTTTCCAGACAGACCATACATGCTTGAGCGAGGTTATACAATGAAGATGTACGGTGAAGCAGTAATCTATTATGAGAGGTAATATATATGACTATCTACTGTGATATATATACACACATTGGAGACTATAAAGCACAATAACCATTAAAGCAAGATAAACATGTACACCCACATGAGTAACAATGCAGTTGACAACCCAATTGATGCAAGACACATAATTTTTTACGGTTTATAGTGTATATTTCTTTTAAAAATAATTGAATGAACAAGAATTGACAGTTTCATTGCTGTATGCCCAATGAGAGTTAGTTTCAGCAATATTCAGTAATGTTGTCCTATAAAAAAAAATGTCAACTGCAATGTACACAGAAATAACAGTCTCTCATTTGAATGTAAAATAACAGTCTCTCATTTGAATGTAAAATAAATTTATAGATTTTTTTTTTCCATATATATATTTTAATTCTAACAATGTAAACATCTGTTATTTCTGCTGCGCCCATTGTGTAAGAAGGTTACTAGAGCTATAGAAATATAGAAAAGCATGACACAGACATTTAAAGTTAAAGATACCTTTTTTTTCTTAAGTCAATGAACCAATACCTCTTTACATTTAGAGGTACCTCAATATAGAAGCTTGTTTTGAACCTGGAATGAAACTCTTGACAAAAATTTAGAAAACAAATCTAAATAAAGAAGCACAGTAGGACCAGATTGAACCATCAAAATCACATTGAACATTGGCAAATTGCTCATATTTTGCATAATCTGTCACCAGACATCAATTTGAGTTGCGTAGTTCCAGTTATCCAGCACAAGTTTGATTCACAGAGTTCTCGCAACAGTTTGACTTGCCGAGTTCTGGTAAGCATTAAGTGACTTCTCATTCGTAGGTATTGTCCACTTTTCTCAATGACATCTTTTACTTTGACTTGCTGAGTTCTAGTTATGCAGCATAAAGCAAGAAATCTCACTTCCAATTCTAGTGCTTTTGCACTTCCTCACAATGAGATATTTCCTCCTATTTAGTTGTAAATTTCTAGTCCATAGCTATTTAGGGGACGAGTTGACCATGACATGAGTTGACCAAAAATTGACAAGTTGACCACGGACAAGAAAACTGATTTCCAATTCTTGTGCTTTGCACTTCCTGACAATGAGATATTTCCTCCTATTTCGTCGTAAATTTCTAGTCCATAGCTATTTAGGACGAGTTGACCACAGGACGATTTGACCAAAAAAGTGACGAGTTGACTGGAAATCATTTTCACTCGATACAGCAATTTCAGCTTTTCGTATGATGTATTTTGAAGACAAATTTCACATTTTTTAGAAAAAAAAATATTTGTGAACAATATACATAGATAAATATAAATATAAAACAAATATGTATAAATATAAAACATAACAGATCATCTTGATTCACGAGAAAAATCATATTAAATCATGATCATTATTTTTTACATAATCTTACCTAAACTTGCCATTTGTTGTTCTAAAAAATATCTTTGAATTCAATATGATCAAAGCTATTAACACACGACTGCTTTTGTGAAGAATGTTCATCAAATTTATCATGGAAGTTAGAATACATAATTCACAAGCAACCAAAATATCCACCATTTTGACTGCACACTATTTCCGGTTAGGCAGAGACTAAAATAGTACTGAAAATGGTGCCTGCTGATCCATAATAGGATTCATAATTAAGAGTATCGTCATATTACTGGCAATTTTTTTCTTTTATTATCATTATTATTATTATTATTATCAGATTCATTCAACCCTAAAATACATAATTCACTAGCACTGCAAGTTTTTTTCAGATTAGGCAGAGACTAAAACAGTAACTGAAAACGGTACCTGCTGATCAATAATAGGATTATTACTGGAGATGGACAGAATGTTAACAAGGGGCAATAACTCAAAAAATAAGAAAAACAGAGTGCCAGTTCTTGTGCACTGCACTTCTTCTTGATGAGATCTATCATCCTATGAAGTGTAAAGTCCATTGGTTTTATAGTTAAAAGAGAAATGTGTCGGACAAAAATAAAGTATGAAAATTAACAAAGGGCAATAATTCAAAAAATAAGACATGCAAAGTACTGGTTCTTGTGCACTGCACTTCTTCTTAATGAGATCTATAATCCTATGAAGTTTAAAGTCCATAGCTTTTATAGTTGAAGAGAAATGTGTCGGACAAAATTAAAGTATGAAAATTAACAAAGGGCAATAACTCAAAAATTAAGAAGTGCAGAGTACTGGTTCTTATGCACTGCACTTCGGGTTATTGAAAGAAGCATGCATACAAAGTTTGAAGTCAATCCGAACTATAGTGACTAAGTTATGCTCTGGACAAGCTTCAGAGGACGCCGACAACGACGCCGACACAGACGCCGCCGACAAAAGTAACCCCTATATGTCGCCTTTTAAGGCGACACAAGTAACCCCTATATGTCGCCTTAAAAGGCGACACAATAAAGGGCCATAATTCTGTTAAATTTGGTCGCAGCGAAAATTCCTTCCTTTACTACCATCTACACCTTAAGGTTGTTCATCCCTGGAAGTTTAAGCAAAATCTGCCATCCGGTTTTAGAGTTGCGTTCACAAAATTTGGTTGCAGCAAAAATTCCTTCCTTTACTGCCATCTACACATTAAGGTTGTTCATCCCTGGAAGTTTAAGAAAAATATGCCAACCGGTTTAAGAGGAGTTGCATTCACAAAATTTCTACATAGTATATAGTGAAAAAATAAATAAAGGGCCATAATTCTGTAAAATTTGGTCGCAGCGAAAATTCCTTCCTTTACTACCATCTACACCTTAAGGTTGTTCATCCCTGGAAGTTTAAGAAAAATCTGCCATCCGGTTTAAGAGTTGCGTTCACAAAATTTCTACATAGTATACAGTGAAAAAAATCAACAAAGGGCCATAATTCTGTTTAATTTGGTCGCAGCAAAAATTCCTTCCTTTACTACCATCTACACATTAAGGTTGTCCATCCCTGTAAGTTTAAGCAAAATCTGCCATCCGGTTTAAGAGGAGTTGCGTTCACAAGATTTCGGGACGTACGGATGGACGGACGGACTTACAGCTTGACGGACGGACGGACAAGTGCAACGCTATATGCTCCCACATTGTGGGGGCATAAAAAGCAAATCAGAGTTATGGGACTTGTGCCAATCATCTTAGATAATCATAGAGAACAAATGTGTGAAGTTTCAATCCATTCCCTTCATTAGTTATGGAGATACCAGCTTACACGCAAAACTTAACCAAGAATTTGTAAGTCGAAAAAGGGGCATAATTATGTAAAAAAGCAAATCAAAGTTATGGGACTTGTGCCAATCATCTTAGATAATCACAGAGAACAAGTGTGTGAAGTTTCAATCCATTCCTTTCAGTAGTTATGGAGATACCAGCTTACATGCAAAAACTTAACCGCAGGGACGCCGACGCCGACAAATGGGTGACTGCATTAGCTCGATTATTCTGTGAATAGTCGAGCTAAAAAAACATACTAATACAAATGGAAAGACGTGGAAATTTTTGACATAATAACAGAGGTTAAAGAAAAGTATACATAGTATATATGAAGTAATATTTACATCTGTATGCAAGAAATTGCCCCTAATTATCTATATGGTAAATCTTCAAACCTAACACAAAACAGAAGAATGTTAAATTCAAATTCAACAGTTTGTAATACTGTACATAATTTGTGTAATCTGTTTTTTATCCTTCTTTTTTTGCCGTGACATTAGGTCTTCCGGTCTCAGCAGTATACCAGAGTTAATAGCATTTCATACGATATGCATGATAGATATAGTGCTTAAACGGTTTGCATGCACTTTTGTCTACTTAAATGTGCATCTCAACGTGCGATTCAAGATTTTTTTTCCTTAAAAATGATTTATCACATGTATCACATTTATAAAGTTTCTCTTTTTTGTGCCTTCTCGTATGTTTTTTCATCTCACAACTGTTGGAGCACTGGAAGATGCAATATTTGCATTCATATGTAATTTTGTTAGTATGGATATTCATATGCCTATATCGTTTTTGAAGACCCTTAAAAGATCGATTCTTCACGTCAATGTGTATTGTCATATGTCTTTTAAGATGGTGGCTCTGAGAAAATGAACGATGGCATATTTCACATTTATGATTCTTCTCACCAGTGTGTATTGTCATATGTTTTTTAAGATTACTGCTCTGAGAAAATGAACGATGGCATATTTCACATTCATGATTCTTCTCACCAGTGTGTATTGTCATATGTTTTGTAAGACTTCCACTTCGAGAAAATAAATTTTGACATATTTCACATCTATGATTCTTCTCACCAGTGTGTATTGTCATATGTTTTTCAAGATAACTGCTATGAGAAAATGAACGGTGACATATTTCACATTTATGATTCTTTTCACCAGTGTGTATTGTCATATGTTGTTTAAGATTACTGCTGTGAGAAAATGAACTATGACATATTTCACATTTATGATTCTTCTCACCAGTGTGTATTGTCATATGTTGTTTAAGATTACTGCTCTGAGAAAATGAACGATGACATATTTCACATTTATAATTCTTCTCACCAGTGTGTATTGTCATATGTCTTTCAAGATCTACACTTTGAGAAAATGAACAGTGACATACCTCACATTTATAATTCTTCTAGCCAGTGTGTATTGTCATATGTCTTTTAAGAGCCTCACTTCCAGAAAATGAACTACGACATGCTTCACATTTATAATTCTTCTCACCAGTGTGTATTGTCATATGTCTTTTAAGATACCCATTTCGAGAAAATGAACTATGACATGCTTCACATTTATAATTCTTCTAGCCAGTGTGTATTGTCATATGTCTTTTAAGATCCCCACTTCGAGAAAATGAACTATGACATACTTCGCATATATGATTCTTCTCACCAGTATGCATTATCATGTGCGTTTTAAGATTACTGCTGTGCAAAGTTGAATATTCACAAATTTCACATTCATGATTCTTTTCACCAGTGTCGGTTGTTTTAAGACTACTGCTATTGGCAGGTAAGCAATCATATATTTTGCATCTGAAATTTTCCTCAGCAGTTGACATTGTTATATATACTTGAAGATCACATCTACAAGGAAATGATTTAAAACACACTATATTGACTAGTGTATTTTGAGGTTACTAATTTTCTACAATGACTGATAAAATAATTCCTTCATAATTGTGAGTTCGCATTTTCCAGTATAGGAATATTCACAAACTAAAGTTTATATAGTCACTGGTTTGTAAAAATGATGTTTCAGTACAATAAGAAAATTACGAAGGAAAATAAATGATCACATGTTGCAAAGCAATAGTTTTCTTACAAGAGTGGTTTCGCATATGCTTTTACAAATCACAACATATTTCTTCACACACATATTGTATCTGTACCTTTGCTTTACATTGTTTTGTTGTTGCTTTTCTGCTAGTGCCACATTGTTGTCACTGTTTAAAAAGAAAGAAAGGAACAAGCAACTGTTAGTAAAAGTAAACATTTGTAAAAATCCTTTCAATACCTTAAAAAAGTGCATTTAATAAATTTCATAAAAACAGAAATACATGTGTAGCGACATTTTATAATTAATTGGTTTGGTGTCAACACAAAGCATAACAAGAGCCACCGCCGGGCGGGGGCAACGCTCGACTTTTTACTTTTTCTAATCGCAAACATAGAAAGGTTTGAACATTTATTGATGTTTCCTTTTCATAAATTTAGTTGGTCTGTCTTGTCACATTAGTTTTGTTTATATATTTTGTATATATATGAATAGAAACATTAAGCATATTTCTAAAAATAGCAACAATGACGCAATTTCTGAAAATAGAAAAAATGACGCAATTTCTAAAAATAGCAACAATGACGCAATTTCTGAAAATAGAAAAAAATGACGCAATTTCTAAAAATAGAAAAAATGACACAATTTTTGAAAAAATAGAAAAAAATGACGCAATTTCTAAAAATAGAAACAATGACGCATTTTCTAAAAATAGAAAAAAAAATGACCCAATTTCTAAAAATAGAAACAATGACGCAATTTCTAAAAATAGAAAAAAATAACGCGCATTACTAAAATAGCAACAATGACGCAATTTCTTAAAAATAGAAAAAAATGACGCAATTTCTAAAAATAGAAAAAATGACGCAATTTCTAAAAATAGCAACAATGATGCAATTTCTAAAAATAGAAAT